GGGAAGGAAGGGAAGGAAGAGAAGGAAGGAAGGGAAGGAAGGGAAGGAAGAGAAGGAAGGAAGGGAAGGGAAGGGAAGGGAAGGAGGGAGGGAGGGAGGGAGGGAGGGAGGGAGGAAGCAAGCAAGCAAGCAAGCAAGCAAGCAAGCAAGCAACCCACCTGGCAAGTGCATATTGGTCTAGCAGTCGGTCACTTTTTTCTTCAGCTTCAGTCATATCTAGACTAAAACTATCACTATATTCAAATGCTGGTGGGAGTTCATTGGTAGATCCAGATAGATCATCTTCCTGAACTGAGGTATCTTCTTCTTCTTGGGCACCTTCCACCTAAAGGAATCAGTTACAATTATTAGTGCAATCTGTATTACAATTTGAGCTGAATTTTGTTTCAAATAACTTAATGAATGTGTCCCCATGCTACTCCTAGAAACAATGTAGTGGATTGCTCTTGCTTTGTTCCAGAATGATTTTAAATTTCTGAGTCTAGCTTACAACTCTTGTTAGCTAAAATTAGTTCTGATTACTTCTAAGCCAAGACAGTCACTTACATGTGCTTATAAAGTCAAATAATATGGATACAGCTAAATAAAAGTTCCTTTATCAAATATGGTCATATGATATGATGTAGTATTTGTTATACAGTTGCATGGAGCTAAAAGTATTCATTTGCATGAAAATTCCAAACATGAGCAATCAAACCAAAAAGTTACTTAGAGCAAAGGAAGGAAGAAAAAAAACAGGACCGAAGTATATGGGGGGGAAATCCTATCTCACAAAATTTACTGAACATTTTTAAAAGAGCGTATTTCTAAGAGAAGAAAACAGAAATTACAAGCACAACCAAGGCAAATCTACTAAGCCATTATTAATTTTACTAACTTTTCATAGTTGTGTCCACGATAAGCTTTGTTTCAGGCATTTGAGACTTACAAAACTCTGCATACTGTAAACAGCATTCTCAAAGTAGCCCAAACAAGCAAAAATTGAATCCACTACAGTCAGTAGCACAATAGTACTCCCACATTTAGGGGATGGAATAGAATTCATATTAACTCCCACAGACCATTTATTGCACTGCTCTATTATAGCTGTAAAAGTGTAATGCCAACATTTTCCAGAGTAACTTGAGAAACTTATATATATATTTAATGTGGTGGCCAAAAGCATCTGACTTTGTTATACAGAACAGTAAAATGTTATTTTGCAGACCTAATCTTTTAGCAAATATGTGTCCTAACCACCACCACCCCCCGGCCCACTGTTTCTTCAAATTTTAAATTCATTCACCTTTGAATCTTCGGAGACCTGGAGATTATTCACTTCTGGCAAAGATGTGTTAAAGCTAGAAGTTCTTGAACTGAAAGGAGGTGGACCTGATGCTGCTGCCTCACATGGCGTGGAAAGGGCATCAATGTGATTTGTGTCCTCAGATGGGGAAAGTGTCATGATCTGTTAAAAAAGAAAGAAAGAGAGAACATTCCTCTGGGAGATGCTTCTGGGCAGGCCAAAGCCACTGAATGAGAACTGCCCAAAGATTGCTCCTTTATCTGTCCCATACAAGTCTGAATATGTGGGGGAGAGAGCTGAAATCATTTTCCCACAGTCTTTCCTGAAACTATTTATTATTTTCTTCTGGTGAAAATAATACCATGAATATATTATTTTCATAACCACATCTTTAAAAATAAATACGGACTCCTTGTGAAGTTTTTTCTTTTTGTAATATTCTACTAAAAAGAGTGATTTGAGAGTATATGATACGAGAATATCTGGCAACTTTTGAAAATTGGGCATTTTTGTTTTCATATTTGTTGACTCTCAAAAGGTGAAGGAATTCAGAACATATTTACTCACTTAAAGGTTAGGGTCTCCAATTTCATTTGAAATGAATTCAAATATCAACCTTTTCTCATTTTTAAATGCAGTTTAGTTTCTAGCAGCTTAACCTTAAGTACTTACAAGTTCTGATTGTTCCAAGATTTGACTTGTTGTAAGGTCCTCCTCTTCCGATGATTCATCAGAATCTTCATGGTTGATTTTGTTTAGACTGGGGATACTTCCTGAGAGCTGGCTTTCTTCCAGAAGCTGCATATCACACTTGTCCAAACTGTCAAGAGAACGCCTACGAACTCCCCAGTTGAAATTGTCCATGCTTTCACCCTGCAATCATAGCAGTGCTTTATTTTCTCTGCTACTAGACAACAAATTCTTCCTACCTGACATTTTAAAAAACATTTATAAGTTTGTGCATTTAAAGGATATATGTATATATATCCTTTATTATATATTTTAAATCTGGAAATATAAAACCATAGCTATTTATGGAGGAAAGCTTAATAATATTATGATCATTTTCTCTAAAACTCTTCTATTTTCAAAGCTTTAATTTCTGGAATGGTTGAATGATGAAATTCTATTTATTTTCATATGTCTGACAATGAAGACTGAAAATTTAAAATTATGAGGTATCCTTAAACGTACATACTTAGTAAGTAAAGAGCAATGTCTATTATGAGGGGCTTCTACACATATAAAACTATTTGTTCATACAGTTAAAGTATTTTGAATATCAGTTTATATGTTTTTCCTTTACGATAACAGGAGCAATATAAAATCCCAAAATATTTGAGAACTTTGCTTGCTCAGTCAGTCTGTCTGTCATATCTACCTACCTACCTACCAGTGACGTGCAGTCAGGGGTGGCAGGGGAGGCAGGGTCTCACCACTGTCATCATGAAAAGAAAAAAAAGTAAAAGGAAAAAGGCTGAGCTAGTTGCTGCCAGAGTCACAGTGGATGACTCTGCTTAGTGCTTAACTGTTTAAAAAAGAGCCTCTAAAAAGTGCCCTCTACAGGAGGAGGTGGGAGAATCACGTGCCTCATTTCGTCTATCTTTATGATCACTCGAGCAAGGGTT